TTACAAAGGGCTTTTTTAGGGGTGTGTGTGGATAAGCCTGTTTGTATAGTGACAAATAATGCCTCCAAAAAGATGTGAAAAGGAAGAAGTAAGGAGAACTGCCTGAGACGTCAGTTCCATGCCAGGTAAAACAATGTAGTGCCCGGGTGACAAAGAAGCAAAGCACTGGGCGGAGGGACCAAAGCTGATCTGGGCGGAGGGACCAAAGCTGATCTGGGCGGAGGGACCAAAGCTGATCTGGGCGGAGGGACCAAAGCTGCTGCATGTGAGTTGGACAGCGTCAAGCCAGGGAGTGAGGGCTAGAGGCACTGTAGACACCCCGATAGTCACTGGGAAGGCGATCAGAGGAGTATGGTAGGGGCCCTGCTCACACTGCACAAATCAACGTTGCATACATATTTTTAATGAAAGAAACAGCAAAATAAAGGAAATGGGAATAGTGAATGATGTAATCTTTGAGCGAGACATTTTAAACATGACACTTTGTTACCATAAAACGGAAGTTTTAAAATACTGAGTTTTGGGCCGGGCGGTGGTGGCGCACGCCTTTAATCCCAGCACTCGGGAGGCAGAGGCAGGCGGATCTCTGCGAGTTCGAGGCCGGGCTGGACCGACAGCCTCCAAAACAATACAGAGAAACCCTGTCTCGTAAAAAAAAAAATACTGAGTTTTGAACGTAATTTATATCAAGAATTTTCACAAATTCGAGAAGCAAATGAAAAACAGGGGAATATATATATACACACATACACACGTGCACAAACACCAAATGTACAAATACTCTTTCCAAACCCAAACAATGAATGCTCCCTATAACTAAAAAAACTACTGAAAAATTGATTCCAAACAAAAACAAACAAATAAATCTAAACTATCCATATGCATTTGTGAAAAAAGTTCAACCTAATTCTCAGTCATAGAAATATACACTGAAAAAGGAAATGGCTCCCCTTCAAAAGAAGCAAAAGTAACCTAGAATGTCATCTGATAAAGTTTCCAAAAAATGAATATTTTCATTTATCAATGTGGGTACATGTAATTGATATATATATATGTACACATATATTCACATATATATATACATATGTATGTATACTGGACTGTAATTTGACAACATAGATGAATATAAAATAGTCATATACCTATCAGTTTTACCATCCCAATATACATATCGAGAAATAAATAGCAAGAAAGCATAAAGGTAAACACATAAAACGGCCTATCATACAGCTCTCAATACTGGAATACGGGAGCCAAAGGTTTAAAATGGATTGAGTCTGTAAGTTATGGTGAAATCATGCAATAAGCATTATACAGATATTGATTGATGACCAGCCCATCTTCAAAGTATTGCTTTCCCTAACAAATTCTGCTACAAGCAAAGCCCATGCGACCTGCCCAGTCTCACACCACACTCTTTTACTAAAAACCTTAAATGGTTTTCAGTTGTCTCAAGGAAAATTAAAATTCCTTAAGACTCTGTAATTTAATTTAAAATGTTTTCAATGGTGCTGCTCCAACAAGTAATGAGGTAATGCCCCATCTAAGTCCTTCAACCTTGCCCTGTCAAACCACCTCCCTTACAAAGGTACCTCCCAGAACATCCCCTTCGTCCCCAGTTGGCAGCCTCTGTAGCTGAAGACCAAGCCTACCCCAAACAGCCAGCCCGGGCTTTTCCTATGAAACCCTAGAAAAGTGTTTCTGTTGGTTGCTCTGTAGATAAAGTGTGTTTTAGTATTTACTGCTTACCCAGTAAGATTTGAAGGTCTTCAATGTGAAGAAAAGTGTGTAGAATATTCCTCTGTCAGCCTTGCCCTTGTGCACAGAAGCAGTTTGGTAAGTATGCATGAAGGGTTAATCAATGCTTGGAAATACTCACATGTCCACAGAGAGCAGGTATTATGTCTGTTCTCATTAACAATCAAAACTGAGGAAACAACAATTCTCCCATACAGGAAAGCACAAAACATTGAATAGTGACATTTAAAAAAATTCCCTCCAGCAGGAGCCAAACTACTTTTTGTCTTGATGCATCTCAGAAAACAGCAAAAGGATAGGAAGCACTAATGAGTGGAAATGTGAATAAAGAAGGGTTCCTTATGAGGGGCTGTCGTGACTAGATCACATTTAAACTTTATTAGAAGCTCCATACATTTGTTTTTGTTTTTTGTCTTGAGCAATACACACAATGTGAGGATCCCAAGTGTCAGCTCCAAGGGCCTGATGGCTTCAGCATTCTCTCCTTGCACTGAGGAGCCAACAATATCCAGGAGTAAAAATACTGCCCATTGTTACCCTTTTTAAATCCCACTGGACTCTCCTCCTCTGGGTTGTCTCCCTTACAATTGGTCACAATTGCAAGAAAAGAAAGACCAACAGATCCTTGCTCACTGGTTTCCTTTCAAATTCATAATTACAAGTGTAAAGACTCCTCTCAATGATGCCTGCTAATCAGCATGCATTTCCCAAGGTCCATTTATTTGCCTACGTTTTAAGGATACTGCTCCATACCATCCCTGTCTCCTCTGATGCTCACGATTCTCTCCACTGTCCTCATTCTTAAGTGAAAACCCTGCTTCCTGTATCTCTAGGAAAACAAATGCATCGAAACAGAGCTTCTATACTCCTCCCCACCAACCTGGCCTTTTGGAAACACCCCTGTTCCAGTACTTTGAGATTCCTGTTGTTGCCATGGATATACCGTATCTGTGCCTCTGTGAAGCCAGCTCTCACACTTAAGTTTTGGATACAATAATCAACTCTTGGCTGTTTCAGATCATGACTCCAGCAGTTTACCTCTCTCTTTCCTTTCGGGAGGGTTGTCCACCAGCAGACAACATCCTGTGTTTTATTTTCTTTTACATTTTTGGGCATGCTTCTCCATTTCATTTCTTCTAGACATGCTTCTCTACTCATTTTTAGGAAAAAAATCATTCAAACTAGTAAGTTACCTGTGTTTCCTACTGCTCGGCTGCCCACCCCCAGATTCTTTTCAACATAATCCCTTTATTTGATCCATTTTGATCACTCCACCAAAACGTTTTGTGTCAACATCACCATTGACCTCCACTGTAGAAGGAGATTTTTTTTTCCATCTATCTCGGTCACACAAGACCAGTTTCCCTCTGCCCACCCAGCCCTGCAGTTGCTTAGTGAAATAACCACTCTGAGACTTAATATCAGTTACAATTGTCTAGCCAATGCCTTAAGCTTCTTATTGGCTAGCTCTCTCTTAATTATTAACCTATTTCTATTAATCTATGTATCTCCACATGGCCTTGGCTTACTGGTGGTGATGCCCTGACATCTTGACCCCACAGCCACTACATGGCATATGTTCTTTGTTTTTCTTTCCCTGACTCTTTGTTCAGAATTCCTGCCTAGATAAATTTTGCCTGTCCATTGACCAAAACAGCTTTATTCATCAACCAATAAGAGAAACATATATTCACAGCATACAGAAGGCCATCCCCCATCACTCCACTTTGCTAGATCCAGTGGTATTTGCCTTGCTTACCTGATAATATTTGATACTATCAATCTCTCCTTTCATTTATCAGCCTTCTTTCTCATTTCTTCCACACATTTATTAACTCCCAGATTCCTTTGTAGTTCAGAAGTAAACTACAGTTTGCTACCTAGTAATTGATAACAGGCTTTTATCAAACCTTCATTAGGATAAAAGTACTTCCTATGTGGGACACAGTTTTATTTCCAATCTGACTGTACTACATAATTCTTCTAGCTTCTTGGGTATCCTTTTTCCATGAGTTATCTGCCAAGAAATCAAGGTTATTAAAACTGCTTAATTTCTTTTTTTTTCAATACCAATACAAGTTTATTGGAATTTGGAATGTAAACAGATGTTTCAAACAAACAATCTAACCTTATAAAAATGTATGGCATTATTAAATAGTTAATGAAGAAATCCTAAGTGTGATGTTGTAGATACCCCAAGCATGTTAGGTCCCCAGAGCTGAGGCATGGCTCTGCAGCCAAGGAGAGGGGACTAGCTGGCAAACCATGTCAGTGACCAGTCCCCCAAATGAAATCAGCTCTACAAAACAAAAACAAAAAACCCCAAACAAAATCTAGCCCTGTGCTAACATGAAGGTTAGCACAGAGGATCTAGACAGCTGTGACACTTGCTCCAGGAGCCCCACTTCCTCTCCCAGGCCTTGGCCGTCTCTCTCCAGCCAGTTGCAGGAGTCATAGGATAGCCTTGCCCACAAGGTAGCGCCTGCATGTCAGAGACTTCTTTGCCATTACACTCATGTATGACCTATCAGAGCTATAAATGCAATCACCCTGATTGTAGCCAGATCTGTTTTTCACGGGGCAAAAAAGAGGGACGATGGTAGGTATGCCTTTTGCATATGTGAGATTGTTCCTGAACACATCCTAATAGAACACTACCCTCCATCTTTGACCTGCCGGAAGACTAACATTCCAGCTGCAGCTATGGTTGTGAACAAAAATAGTCTTTGTTTTAGAGTGGTACATTAAAGTAGGTGCCCACACAAAGATGTGCTGAGAAATGGTGAAATTTTCCTTATAGGGGGTAGGGGGAGTGGTGCAAAAAAAAAAAAAGCAACAAGATTCAATAGTTAGGCAAATCAATAAAGGTGAGCCCCACGTTATGCACACAGCATGAAACTTCTAATGAACCTGGGACCTGTTCATGGCATCTCAAGATTTACAGTGCCATCTTCTGACACTAAAGAGGACGTGGTGAGAGCGACTGCAGTTTGCTTCCAAATGAATATACTTAGAAGAAAACTGCAGGAATGAGGTACATTTCCTGGAGAGCTCATGTCATAAAAAAATACATAACACATGAATTTGTAAAAGAGCTTAAAAAAATACTGTCACTGCTTTAATCTTTTTTTCTTTTCTTTTCTTTTTTTTGTAAATGAGGCTGGTGTGTCAGAATAGACTGCAGACTTTGCTAAAACTTGAGCCTGAATCCTCACAGAAGAAAACCAGACACCACAATGGAATAGATAGGAAGTCAGATATTCAGAGCTTGTTGACCGAACGGATTAATTCAACAGTGGTATCCTGTTAAACGCAGGTACGTGTACAACAACTCCGAGCTTCTCATCTCCCATGCATTCCAAAGGGAGAGTCCCCTCAGATCCTCAACTATGTGCACTGCCACACTGTACAGCGCAGCTCCCTGCAGACTAGTACTGGGGAGTTTCTTGCTTTTGACAGGCTTTAGGTCTTTACTCTTCTTTGCCTTTAGAAGGAATGATTAGAATTTCTGTTTATCACACTGTAGTTTCCTTCAAGTTTTTGTTTGTTTGGTTGGTTTTATTGGCAAGCATCAGTGCCGCATTACCGTCGATTCCCCAGGCTTCATCGTGCTGCGGTGAGGCCACTGGAAAGCACGGTGTTCTCTGTGCAAGTCTGGGACTGCTCCTTCACCACAGGGTAGAAGTACGGATGCTCCATGGCCTCTTTGGCAGTCAGTCTCTGTTGATGGTCGTACCGCAGGAGCTTGTCAAGAAGATCTAGGGCCTCAGGACTGACAAGGTGTCTGTTTTCACTATGGATAAAGTTTTCCCAGCGCTTCCGTGAATGTTGTCCCAAGATATCATTGAAGTGTGGATCTAGGTCTATGTGGTACTTCTTCAGATATCCGTACAGCTCATCTGTCCCCAGAACCTTGGCAATTCGAACAAGTTGGTCATAGTTGTCCTGCCCATGGAAGAATGGCTCCTTTCGGAAAATCATGCTCGCTAACATGCAGCCCAAGCTCCACATGTCCAAGCTGTAGTCATACATCTGATAGTCCACAAGGAGCTCTGGTCCCTTGAAGTACCTCGAGGCCACTCGAACATTGTACTCCTGAGCAGGATGATAGAACTCCGCCAGACCCCAATCAATCAGTCGGAGCTTTTTTTGTTGGTGATCTATCATGACATTGTGAGGTTTCACATCCCTGTGCATGATTCCCTTGCTGTGGCAGTAATCCAGAGCTTTAAGTAGTTCATACATATAAAACCGGATATCAAAGTCAGTCAGGATCTGGTAGAGTTGCTTAAAATCTGTATTAGTGATATATTCAAATACCAAAGCTGGTGTCTTTGACACAGGGTCCTTTACAGTGTCAATCAGCTTTATGATATTTGTTCCACCACGAAGGTTCTCCAGAATCTTAACCTCGCGTTTTATCTTCTTTTTCTTCACTGGCTTCAGAATTTTTACAACCACCCTCTCATTGTTGGTGATGTTAATGGCCTCAAATACTTCACTATACTTGCCCCGACCAAGTTTTCGAACCAGTTGGTAATCATCTTGATTACCCCAGCTCGGGACGTGGGCTTCGTAGTCCCAGTACTCGCGGCTCCTCAGGCTGTTCACCTCGGCGTAGACCCGGGCCCGACTGCCCGCGGCCGGGCCGGGCATGGCGGGCGGGACCGGGGGGCGCCGCGGGGCGCCGAGGGCGGCGGCGCGGCACGGGGCGCCGGGTGGCAGGCGCGGTAGGTGGCGGGCCGCGGGCCGCCTGAACAGGAGGAGGAGCGCGGCGGCGGCGACGGCGGCGGGCGTCCGCGCCAGGCCGGGCCCGCGGGGGCGGGAGGACGGACGCTCGGGCTGGGGGGGCGCCGGCCGAGCCGGCCGGGGGCCTGCGGCGGCCGGCGGGACGACGGGGCTCGTGCTCCGCGGCGGCCTCCGCTCGGCTCGCGGCCCCTAGAGGCAGCGGCAGCGGCAGCGGCAGCCACCGGCCGGGAGAGGGGCAGCGGCGGCGACGGCGCCGAAGAGGGAGGAGCTGCTTAATTTCTTTATAAGTATGCTGGTTTTTGATGACAAGTTCCATAGAATGGAGAGCTATATGATGTAAGGGAGGGGAGACAGCTGTAGCAGCAGTATTCCTTTTAATTTATTTGTTTTTGTTTTGAGACAGAATCTCTGTAAGTATTCTTAAAACAGGGTGAGAATGGTAGTTTGGCCTAAGTTAGGAATAATTTTAAATGAGGACGAAATATTCGAGGTAGCAAATAGCCATGGGAAACTTTTGGGTAAAGTAGTGGCGTGCTAGAACCCTGACTTTTTCCTCAGGAGTTTGCTATTTCTCCAACAGTCTCCTAGGAAAGAGCTGCTTGGGAGGAACCACAATACGAGTATTAAGTTCTGCCTAAAATGTCCTTCAGAGGGTCTTTCATTATATCCCTAACTTTATAACTTCCTCGTAAAGACATCAGGAGCCCTCTTCTCTATAGCTGTGTCCTTACGGTCTTGGGGCTTTATAAGTAAAGAAATAAAAAAAATCTTATTGGTGGAGTATTATGAGATTGAACTAAACTTATGGTGCATCTTATACCATGGGAGACAAATTAAGCATTTATTTTGTATGTTTTAGATTTTAAAAAGCTAATACACGTGTATGGTTTGGTATTTTCTTCCTGAATTGTAATGAAATGTCCTGTATACTCACTTTGGAAGTTATAGTCTGTGAAAATGGGAAGCTGTTGGACATTTTAATTAGGAAAGAGGTGGGATGCAAATGACATTAGGAAAACTATTATCTTGTGATATGGGTTTCAAGATTGGCATTGAGGTGAATGGGGCAATTCTTGATTAGAGAGAAATAAACAAAGGAAGCAATTGACTAAATATTGGCAGTAACAGTATTCAAACTTTTTTTAGTCAAATAAAGAAACAAAAGGAAACATGAATTACAAATTATATCTTTAAAGATAAAATCCTAGATGTATATAAAATCCCAGTAATTTTAAGGTAAATGGGTAAAAAGAATCCAACAGTTGACCAAAAAAGTCATTAGACAAATCTTTGTCATTTTATGAGAGTGTACACAGTTACAAAGAACAAAAATTTCATTAGACAAATCTTTGTCATTTTATGAGAGGGTACACAGTTACAAAGGACAAAAAAATCATTAGACAAATCTTTGTCACTTTATGAGAGTGTACACAGTCACAAAGAACAAAAAGTCATTAAGCAAATCTTTGCCATTTTATGAGTGTACACAATCACAAAGGACAAAAAGTCATTAGACAAATCTTTGTCATTTTATGAGTGTACACAGTTACAAGGACAAAAGCCTGAATAAGGACTGAGTGTCTGGCCTCTCTTTCTGTGTTCTGTCGATCATGCCCCATCACCTGTTTGTTGCTACTGCCTCTGAGATTCTCTTAGTAACTAAGCATCAAGAAAAAGTTACAACACCTTAAGTAAAGATGCCAACAAATAATAGCCAGTCTATAAGGTTTCTCTAACTTTCCCTGAAACTTTTGTAGTCATTCCAGCCCTTTAGTCTGATAGTTTAAATGGGCCTGGGTTTTAATCCCAGTCTGATATATCACAGTCATCCCCTTATAGGAAACAGCATACTTTAAAAATTGATCTGCAAGGGAAGTAAGAGAACTGAAGTGTTCATGCCCAAAGTTTATTATGTGCCTTATAGAAAGGGTAGTCTTGACTTTGAATTCAGGGTATATGTAGCTTTGTAAAAGGGTGAAAATGTTTTTTGTTTGTTTGTCTGAATGCAAGGTACTAGGGTTGATAAAATGGCTCAGGAGGTTAGGGCACTATCTATGCCTTTATTTTATTGTCGCCATGCCTGACTGACTACAATCCCCATCATCCAATGATATAAAGGAAGAACTGACTACTGTAAATAGTCTTTCAGTATCCACACAGTGCCATGGCACAAAAATAAATAGACAGACAGACATACAGATAGATAGAAATACTAAACTGAGTTATACTGTTTGAAAAATAATGCCAAGACTTAAAAAGCCTGCTACTTGCTGGTGCTCCTTCTGTCTCCACAGGCTCACCTCTGGCACTTCCTTCTCTCCTTCCTCCAGCTAGGTCAGCTCCTTCCTTCTGCTGGGCCCACCCAGATCCTCTAGGCTCCCTACTCCCAACCCCTGAGCCACCGACCAGGTCTACTTCTTCCAAACCCAAAGAATTGCCTGATCTCATCTTGTGTGTTCCGTCCGACATGTAGGCCTGTTTCTCCTTCTCACAGATTCACCTGTCTCTTCTGGGATCTCTTTCCCCCATAGCACCACATAGATATACTTTTCTATTACCCCAAAGCTTCCCTGCTCCTACAGGACTACCCTTCCCCTGCACCATCTGCTTGGTTCCCTCCTTCCTACCCCAAAGGTCTTCTGATCTTTTCCTGAATTTCCAGTTAGGCCTGCTACTCCATGCTCTTGGCCCACCCTCTTGCCCCTTGTCTGGTACATCCCTCCCTGCCTATGCTAGGCTCTGCTCCTTCCCATCCCATAGCCAATCCAACTCCTCTGTGATCTCATTTCCTGAGTCGCTGGTAAGAATCCTCTGCCATACACTATAGACCTCCTGACTCCTCCAGGATCTTCCACCCCTCCCTTCAGATTAGGTCCATTTCTTCCCACCCTTTAAGCTTTTAAGAAGTTCCATTCACAATAGTCTCAAAAATACCTTGGGACAAATCTAACCAAGGAAGCAAAAGACCCATGCAATGAAAACTTTAAGACATTGAAGAGAGAAACTGCAGAAAATGGAAAGACTTCCCTATGCTCATGAAGTGGTAGGATTAATAGTGTGAAAAATGGTCATACTACCAAGAGCAATCTAAAGATTCAATGCATATTAACCAAAATTTCAATGCAATTCTTCCCAGAGATTGAAAAAAATCTTAAAATTATTATGGAAACACAAAAAGACCCAGGACATGGAAAACAACCTTAACACACTAAAAGCGTTAGTGGTACCACTATCCTACATTTCAAATCATGCTATGGGTCTATAGTTATAAAAAAATCATGGTGATATCATAAAAACAGACACATTGGTTAATGGATGAGAAGCTATTCCCCAGATACCTACCAAAGGCAGCATTTGCAGGGGGAGGGGGCGGGGGTTGAGACAGGGTTTCTCTGTGACTTTGGAGGCTGTCCTGTAACTAGCTCTTGTAAACCAGACTGCTCTCAACTCATAGAGATCTGCCTACCTGTGTCTCTGGAATGCTGGGATTAAAGGTGTGTGCCACCACCACCTGGCCTTAAAGGCAGAATTTTTAACAAATAGTGCAAGTCAAATTGAATAGCTACTCAAGAAGAATTAAATTAGATCCTTATCTCTCACTTTGCACAAAGTCAACTCAAAATAGACCAAGGACCTCAACATAAAGTGTGATGCCCGGAATATGATAGAGAGGATGGATATATTTCAACTTAATTGTACAGGAAAGGACTTTCTGAATATGACCCTAATAGCATGGGCATTAAGACCAATAATTAGCAAATGGGACTTCATAAAACAAAAAATGCATCTGTACAGCAAAGGAAAAATGCACTTACAGAACAGGAAAAAATATATATATATATCTGATAGAGGGCTGGTGTCTAGAATACACAAAGAAATCAAACTACTGCCAAGAAAACAGACAACCCAAATTAAAATTGGGTTAAGAGCACTGCAGGTTCTTCCAGAGGTCCTGAGTTCAATTCCCAGCAACCACATGATGGCTCATAACCATCTATAATGAGATCTTATGCCTTCTCCTGGTATGCAAGCACATATGCAGATAAAAAACTGTATACATAATAAAATAAAATAAAACATTAAAAAAACTAATGAGATTTCATCTTACCCCTTTCATAGCAGTTTAGATTTTTTAAAAATGACAACAAATTCTGGCATGGGTATGGAAAAAGGGAAACATTCATTGTTGGTGGGAGTGCAAACTGGTGAAGTCACTATAGGAGTCAGTGTAGAGTTTCCTCAAAAACTTATAAATATTTCTACCTTTTGATCCATCTATACTACCTCTGGCACATTCCCAAAGGACTCCATATTCACACTACAGAGATAATTGTCTGTCTATGATCATTTCTGCTCTATTCATAGTTGCCAGGAATTGAAAATGTCCTCAATGCCCATCAACTGGCAAGTAGGAAGTTAGAATATGGTATATATACACAATGAACTATTATTAATCTGTAAAGAAAAATGAAATAATGCAAGTAAATGGATTGAGATGAAATAATCACTCTGAATGAGGTAGCCTGAAACCATAAGGCAGGAAATGACTAAGATGCTGTGGGTGGGGTACTTAAAAGAAAGGGGGATAGGATACAGGTTGTATGAAGGGGGAAATGGGGGAACTGGAACAGGGAGGGTCGAGTGAGGTGGGACATGGGAGATCAGGGTAGAGAAGAGAGCGTGTAAAAGGAAAACTAATGTCACAAAGACCTTTGAAAATGCCATGTAGAAACCTACTACTGTAGAAGATTCCTAAAATGTATAAAAAGGAATTTAAATTTTGTTTCCCTGTAAGAAGGGGATATCTTTCAGACACAATAGGCTATCAAATAATGTAGTGACATCTTGTTTATACTCTAACAAATAAAGCTTGCCTGAAGATCAGAGGGCAGTAGTTAACCATAGAGGTCTGGGAATCTGTATAGAAAGACAGGAAGT